TCCCTTTTTGAAGCCTGACCTCCACCTCGAAGCCTTACCTGACTGCTTGGGCCCGTGATCTTCTTCCTTTCCAGCCACACTACTTAGAAACAGAGAGTCTTGTTTTTGTGCTTAGCTCACATCTTAGCTTCTGCCCTTGAAAGCACGAGTTTCATTAAAGGCATAAACCTCTCTTAGGTCTCTTGCCTCCCCCAGGAAATCATTATAGCAGGAATACTTAAAAGTGACATCACTGCCTTTGACCAGAAGGCTTCTTGACCAGAAACTGTTGAATTAATAACTAGGTCTTGCCTGAAATATTAAGCAGGCCAAGAAACGCAGCTATTAACTTTAACTTGAGAAAGAATCTGAAGGGGAGGAAAAGGAAGTAATAGTTACACTACCCAGGTGAGATTATGGGGAAAGGAAGTCAGTCTCTGCCAGGAGCCTAACTTCTTTCTTCAACTCAAAATTCTGAAGACTTTGCTTCTTTCGCTGGATCGCCTAACCCTTGTTACTGTTCCAAGAGAAGCAAAGTTGCTTGGCAGCTTCAAAACCCTCTGAAAATGGCCATCACCTTTTTTTTTTCTTTGTTTTGCAATGAGGTCTTGCTATGTTGCCCAGGTTGGCCATGAACTACTGAGCATACCTGATGCAGCCTGCCTCAGCCTCCCAAGTAGCTGGGATTACAGAAGTATCTCACTATGTCCAGCAGCCACACCTTTGATATTGTGTCTGGCTTTTCTAGCTCAGGAAGCATGGGGAAAAGAGGAAGTGCTCCAGGCAGGCACCTCTTCCCACTCCCATTTACTCCTCTGATTTCGTGTGTGCAAGCTGTTGAGGAAAAGCTTGGAACTCTAGAAGTCAACTGGGAAGAATATTTTATTCATAAAAATGTAATACGCATACTTCTGTAGCAAAAGAAACCTTTAAAACAGAAGTATATGACTCAATAGGAAATGTAGCTTGGTAACATACGGTAAAATATGTAGGGGAAAAATATGTAGGCCAACATCACAATGTGTGATACCTTTTAGAATGTTCTTGTGGGGGAAAAACATCTGAAATTATTACTTCATTGCTCACATAGCAAAAGATCATAATAAATAAAACTTGGATTAGAAAGCATTAGTGATAGAGATGTTATTTTTTTCTCCAAAGAGTAATCACTTGATATCTTTATTGCCACCCTTTAAAATGAGTTAATGATTTTGAACTCTATGCCCCAGATACTGTCAGGCAAAAATGGTACCACGGAGCCAGGTGTGGTGGAGAGTACCTGTAATTCTAGCTACTTGGGAGGCTGAGACAGGAGAATCACTTCAGACCAAGAGTTCAAGGGCAGCCTGGGTAAGATAGCAGGGCCCTGTCTCAAGAAAAAGAAAAGTTACTATGAAAAAATAACTTGAGCTTTTTCAAGCTGTGTTAACCAATGGCAGGAAATTATTATATGCTATCAATGTTTACTTTCCTTTCTCTTTTGTAGTAGTGGGGATTAAACCCAGCCCCTCATATACACTAGGCAAACATTTTATCACTGGGTAACATCCTCTGCACTTTTGAACTCTGAGACAGGGTCTCACTACATTGCCCAGGCTAGCCTTGGACTTGTGATCCTCTTGCTTCAGCCTCCTGAGTGGCTGGGATTACAGATGTGCACCACTGTGCCTACCTATCTCTTTCTTTCCCTTGTGCCTCACTTTCTTTTTCTCTTTTGCTGTCTTTCTCCTTTTTTTCTCTCTTTCTTAATGGATTTGCTGATTATGGTAAAATTCAGTTATATTTAGAAGTGTAAAAGCAAGCTTGAAACTGAGTTTTGTGGCTCACGCCTGTAATACCAACACTCAGAGGCTGAGGCTGGAGGATCACCATGAGTTCGAGGCCAGCCTGGGCTACACAGTGAGTCCAAGGCCAGCCTGAACTGCATAGTGAGACCCTGTCTCAAATAAACAAACAAAGAAACAAAATAAGAAAGAGGGAAAAAATCAAGATTGAAATCATCAGCTTAAAAAAGAAGGAAAGGACTTCGGATGTCAATTGTTTCTGTAAAAAGGGTGTTTTCCTGCCTGAGCAGCACTGATATTATATTAGGTGGAAGCCAAAGCAGGGAACAGGCCTCTCCTTTGTGGCATAGTTCATTTAATTGAAATGTGAAGATTATAGTTTAACAATAATGCACACCTAAATAAAACACAAGCCTTGAATTTGACATGCATCTCATTTGCAATAAGAAGCTTTCAATAGCCTTTTATTTTTTTGAGGGGGAGGTTTTGAGAGAGGGTCTCACTATCCAGCCCAGGCTGGCCTCAAACTCGCAGTGATCCTCTTGCCTCAGCCTTCTGAGTTCTGGAATTACAGGCGTGCACCACCATGCCTGGCCTCTATAGCCTTTTACACTCCACCTGTTGACATAGAATTTACTTGGACTCAAATCTTGGCTCTTTTCCTTTGTAAGTATGACCTTAGGAAAGCTATCTAACTACCTATGTTCTTTAGTCTCTTTGTAAAGTGGGACTAACTTTAGGGTTGCTGTGAATATTAAGTGAGATGACACATGTAAGAAACTAAGCAGATTGCTTGGTACAGAGAGAAAGCTGATGAGTATTAGCCATTGTTATTGTTCAGTTGCACGAATAATTAATTATTGGATGTCTACTATGTAGTAGTCTCTATATCAGAGCTAAAAAAGCATTTAGGGCTTTGCTTTTCTGTGTCTTATCTACAAATAATGTATTACAGATTTAGTTATGAAATCCTGGTCAGTTGGGCAGTCTAGTGAGACTCATGTTAATCTAGAAAATAGGCTAGATGGAGTCAGAGGGCATTTGGAATTTGATATAAATGAAATAGTTACTTAAGGTCTTGCCATTTGAGTTGCTGAGTTACGGTGGCAGGTTTTACAGTGTGTATTTCTGATGCATAATAAATCCACTGTGACATTCAAAGAGTCAAACATACCTGATTAGACTTTTCTGTCCTGTATTTATAAAAAGGTTAGTGGTGCATTTCCTCAGTGCAAATTATTTTTGGTTCGTACTAATATTTATGAATATAATAAAGTCTCTACAGCACAATGCATGTGATTAATTTGTCCAAGTCATTAGCTTGCTTTTATTTAGGGAGATATCGCAGAAGATGTTACCTCCTAGTCAGTGAGTTCAGTAGATAGGGAACAGCAATATACAGGAAAGGGCAGTTATACTTTAGCCCTGTGGGGCAAGACGAGAAACATAATTATAGCAGTGATGTATTCTGTTGTATAAATTTATCATGGAAGTGGTGCAGGAACAGTTTCATCAGTAGGCTTTGTGATTCCAAAGCTGTGGTGTTTGATCTGAGAGTGGCCTGGGGTGGATATATCCATGGGGCATTAAAAGTTGGTTTCTCCTAGTGCTCTGGGAGCCTCAGCAGGAAGATCATAAGTTTGAGTCCAGCTGGTGTAACTCAGTGATATAGTGAGACCTTATTGCAAACAAAACAAAACAAACAAATAAACAAACAACATGAAAGGGCTGGGGATGCAGTTCAAAGGCCCTGGGTTCAACTCCCAGTACTGGAAGAAAAAAAAAGAGTTTTCTGGTGACTAGGAGCTGATCATTTGGTCTAAGTGAGTGTAGTTTTTTTTAACCCCTCCTCCCCCTAGTACTGGGGATAGAAGCCAGGGCCTTCACACTGAGCTGCAGGCCCCTAGCCTGTTTTTATATTTTGTATTTTGAGGTAGCATCTCGCTAAGCCACTGAGCTGCCCAGACTGGGCTCAAACTTGTGGTCATCTTGCTTCAGCCTCCCAGAGTGCTGGGATTATAGACCTGCGGTACCACACCTAGCTGGCTTTAGGTCTGGTTTGATTGGTTACTTATGGAGATTCTAGAGTAATACGAAACCATGGAAATATACATTTTACATATCTCTACCTATGGTGTTTTGACAGATGCAGAATGTTTGGTCACTAACTCTTCCTATGGCTCCTTCACTTGCACAATTTATAGTTAAGAACCTGAATATACGGTTCAATTATCCAATACCTTCCAAGATGGAAATAATTAGGCAACTTTTCTCAAAACTTTTGATGAAGAGGAGGGAAGTGAATAGGCCCTTTCTTAACAAATCGAACTCAGCATTTACTAAGATAGGAACAAGAATATACCAGTTGGACGCAGCTTGGGCAAGTGCGTTGCGATCTGTCGATCTGTCCATACCTAGTTACAAAAGGTTGCTTAAGGGCATAAAAGCAATCCTCTATACCCTTGTGCTTAGTACTCCTTTGCTGCCTACCCATTTCCATAAGGCTGATGACCTTTAAGTATTTAAACTCTCCCCAAAGGCATCATACCGGTGCCCCGAAATACAAGTCACCTATCACTGCACGAAAGGACAAAAAGTGCCTGACCATAATCCCTGCACACGGGGTAAGGCTTGGTTCTCACCAGAAGGCCCGGTTTGGGGTTATCTGGAATGGGACGTGGGCCTTCCTGGTAAAACATCAAAACAATAAACACTGCTCCTTCCCCTTCCCCAAAACAAAAACTCCGAGGAGAGGCTGTTGTTGCCAACTACGCCCGCCTTAGAATCTGCCTGTAACACGAGACAGCTGGATGGCCCGAGGTCCTGCCGAGCTTGGGTCCCCGAGGTCCCTGCGGTCCCGGTAGGGACGAAGTTCCCGGAGACTGTCACCTGCGCGACTGGCGCGGAGGCGTGGTCACGGGGACGGGGGCGTGGCCTGGGCGCCGGGGGAGGAGCCGGCCCGGGCCCGCCCCGCAGGAGGAGCCGCTGGCTGGCAGAGCTCCGGCG